GTAGTTTTAGGGTTTCTTATGTTTGGGTTTCAACAAGAAAATGAAAAATGGGAGGGGGTTGGGTGGATAGTTTAGTTATGGGGCGGACCGAGTCGACCCGTGTTGAAATGGACTGGGTCATGGGGAAGATTGGGTATTTTTTGGGCATGTGGTTTGAAATTTGGAGAAGAGGCCCAATTCCGATTTTCTTCATTTTTTGCTCTCTTTTCTTCTTTTATTTTTCTAAAACTAAATTCTAAAAATCCTTGAACTATCATATAGAACTAAATTAATTTATAAAAGCGCAAATTAACTCCCAATAACAATTAACACACAATTAAGTAATAATTAAGCATAAAATTGTACAATTGGACATTAAATGCTAAAAATGTGAAAGATGCCTATTTTTGTAATTTTCATTTTTGTAAAACAAACTTAATTACTAACAATTGTAGGATTAAATCCTAAATGCAAATGCGACATATTTTTGTATTTTTTATTAATTTAACAAATAGACATGCGCAGACAAAATGCAAATAATTATCCAAAGATACCACAAAAATTCAAAAAATTGCACACCAAGAAAAATCATTTTATTTTGAATTTTTTGGGAGTAATTCTTTCATAGGGCAAAAATCACGTGCTTACACCTAGATTTTTAAAAGAAAGTTATAAGACATGTTTTTATTTGAAGTCCATTCTTCTAACTTTTTAAGAGATAAAGTTGTTAATAATTTTTTTATAATCAATTTTCTCTAATAATTCTTGCTCGATTGATAATATAGCCAATCTATCTAATCTTTCTTGAGATAATGTTGATCTTAACTAAGATTTTGCATAGCAATAGAAGTATAAAACTATTGCAAGGTTAAAAGTATTGCTGAACACTTGAACTAGTGAAATCTAAATCTTGGAGAAAGAAGGCGAGTAATGAAATCATGGAGAAAGAAGTGGTAAGAATGTCAAAGAGAAACACAAAAAATATTTAGGGTTTTCTAAAATACGAAGATATAAGAAACAAAGAAAGATTGATTTGGACAAATTAAGGAAGAGAGCAAATTTTTTAATGAAAGAGTAAAAATAGAAAAACTAAAAGTTATGAAAACTCTTTATCTACACATTTTTAAGTAAGTCAAATTATTATTTTATTTATATATTTAAAAAGTTTTCTTTCCTTTATATTAAAAACTCTAGTTTTGTATTAAAAATACTATAATTGTTTTTTAACTACCTATGAATCTATTATTTTTAAAATATGGGGCCCCTAAATTTGGGGACTAAGGCACACGCCTTACTCCACGTGAGGTTGGAGCCGGCCCTGTAATGATGGTCTTTTGGATGTAATAAACAGAGGTCAGATGGATTGTCCCTCTCTGTTATGTGCTCTTTTTGTTGGAATTATATACTCCAAGGAAGGCGCCACCTAAAGGCGTAAAGTTTTAGAAAAAAATAATATTTCCCCTTTGCACGAAGGAAGAGAATCTTTACTGCAACGATTCTTTTTAATTTGTGTCACCTATGAGAAAAGGATATTAAATTAACAGAACAAACAAATACAAATAAAAATAAAAATAAAAATCAAGTGCTCTCTTATTGAGTTACCTCCTCGTAGTTGTATCTTTCTCAAGCTTTGAGTTAATTTTTGGGATCGAATTAGACCAAGGTTAATTTAGCATGATATTAAAGCTATGCCCCGATGTTGGGCTCCCAAAGGGGTTATGAAATTCCATATCACTGATGGATAAGATTCTTGAACTCTTTATATAGCTTGGACAATCCTCACCCTTGTGAATTATGATGTCCATTGTATCTAGTACTGGTTTATCAAATTCGGCTGTTAATTTTCACATCTAATTAAGTAGCAAAACGATTTTGTACAAGTCACAAAGTTATAAAAGTCAGTAAGTAGCACGTGAATATATTTATGTAGAAATAAAAGGAAAGAAAATAAAAAATAAATGCGCCAAACAGTTCCTTTCTATCTTCGTCCGATTATTTTTATTTTTATTTTTTGCTAACAAAAATCTCTAATCCAAGAGGTGTACTCATCTGTTCGATCAAATTGTGGTGTAAATAGAATTCCTCCAAACTCCAAAGACTCGTGTCATTGGACCAAAAAGTGAACCTATAATTATGGACTAGACTCCCAATGTATTATCTTCTTTAAATATTAACATGAAATAGAGAAAACAAACCCTAGTGCCATGGATAGAACTTCAGAATTACCAACTAAAATCCTTTACCAAATACTCTCTCGTCTCCCCACAAAAACTGCGGCTCAAACCAGCGTGTTGTCAAAGCCATGGCTTCAAGCATGCTCTACGAACCCCTATCTCAGTTTTGATGAATTTGACTTTAACCCCCATCTCAATTATAATAAATTTTACCTTGAGAGACCGCCGGGTAAGTCTATAGAGTTTCACGGTAAGTTTTTGAGGATTGTAGACGATATTTTGGGAAGATATCTCCGTGAAAAACTACCTATTTCAACTTTTAAGCTTTGCATTTCTTTCTCTAATGAAACTGATTGTGATGGTCTAGTAGATAAATGGTTAGATATCATAGCAAAGAAGAACGTTTCACAATTCGCACTTTTGGTGAAAAGCCGTTCAGGAAAATTTTCACTGTCAGCTGATACCATTTTCTCAATGGAGTTATTGCAGCAGTTGGAGCTAAATTGGTGCAAGATATTACTGAAGCAAAAAGCAGTACTTTTTGATGATAGAATTAAGTGTCGTAACATAAAAAATCTAACCTTATGTCATGTTAGCGTTTCTGAATCAACACTTCATAGCCTAATATCATGTTGCCCTCAAATCATGATGATATCATTACAGTACTGTGTTGGGTTTAGTCGCATCCGTATGTCAAACCTGCCTAAGCTTTTGTCTCTTAGTATCTTATGCTGCTATGTTGAGGAAGTTCATATTATTGAGGCACCAAAATTACTATCTTTCAAATATGGAGAGAGAATTAATTTGAGTTCGTTGAATATTGGTACTTGCCAGAATCTTACAAGGGTAGAATTTGTGAGTGCCAAAATTATTAATGATGATATTCTCTTCCAGCTAATAAAAAAACTACCCTTCATCAAAGAATTGAGCTTACGCTACTGTGAGCAATTGAGAAAAATAAAAATATCAAGTTCAACCCTCGAGGTTTGTAGCATAGGTTATTGCTATTTATTAGTTCAAGCCATTTTTGATGTGCCCAAGTTACTCTCCTTAGCCATCTCCATTCAATATAAGCTACCTTCTTTATCTTTTGAATGTTGTTCAAGCAAATGCAGAATTTCCATAAATTATTGCTGTATATTGGAGGCTGAAGGCTTCATTCGTTTAAGGAAATTTCTAGTTGAGTTGAATGATCAGGCTGTAGACTTGACATTGTCTAATCAAAGATTCAGAAACAACTGCACTTCTGGCTTGAGATATCTTCCTACACCTGAAGTTGAGAATTTGATATTACCTGACCGTAATCATCCAAATTTGTCATATTCATCTTACTTTGATGCAATCTTCTGGACTTGTTGGCCCAAGAGTTTAACAGTAGAGTGTGATCCAAGATTTAGAAAGTTTATACGTCAACAACTGTTGAAGAAGTACCAGTGGAGACTTAACAAATGTACTTGGAAAGAATATCTCATAAATGCTCAGATAGAGTACAAAAAAACAATAGGAGGCGATTGGGTTCCTCTTGATAGGAAAATGTTGGCAGCTAACCCTCGTATTATTGAAGCGATCCATACAATTCGCTTCAAGCAAACGGAAAGAAAAGACAAAAATAAAGAATCATTTATTTCAAGGTAACGGCTTGTTATGTAAAATGTATAAACTATGATAACACTGTCACATTTTTATTAATTTCCTTCATACATTCCATATTCCCCCCTTCACTTTCCTAACATTTATGTGTTGTTTGTGCAGGTACACTCCGAGATGAGAGCTCATCAATTGGAGAGATAGATGTAGTTTGAGATTAGATATCTAGTGCAACTTTTGTTTTCTTTTACCTTCATATGTGTTAGAAAAATGTTTTGTGACAATTTCCTTACCGTGCTTTTATCATATAGCTGGTCGGCAATTTTGCTTATTATTCTTATTGTTTTATTGAATTTGATTTCCAACAGGCCTTCGACGTAGCAATCCACTTCATTTTATTGAATCCTTTAATAGCAGTATCCATGCCAATTCTAATCGAGTATAAGTTATATACATTGATATTATAAAAAAGATTATATTAGCTTGATATTATAAAAAAAGTTAATTTTAATTTTATCTAGGTTACCAATTATGTTTAGTAAATGAAATTACCTAAGTGAATATTTTTTCACTTATGAGAGGCAAGATGACTTGCGTGGTATTCATAATTGGTAAGGTACTTCAACATTACTAGTCTTCATTAAGGAATTGATTTTACGTTGCTATAAATACTTGAAAAAAACTAAAAAAACTCAAGTTCAATTCTCAAGGTTTGTACTTTGTATGGAGAAATTCAAAAATAGCCAGATTTACAATTAGTCGTTCAAAAATAGCCCAATTTCAAAAGTAATCGAAATTTGGCTACTTTTCATGTAAAGATAAATCTGAGCGAAAACACTGTTCAAAACCCGGAAAATACGCCAGTATATTATGCTGGAGTTTGGAGCAACGGCGCTCCAGTATATTATACTGGAGTCCGCAAATTATACCGGTCCAGCATAATATGCTGGAGTTCATACACAGGTGCACCGAACTCCAGTATATTATGCTGGACCGGTCTCTGTTGCAGCAAAATAGTGGCTATTTTTCATTGACTTCGTAAACGTTGGCTATTTTTGAATGACCAGTCCGAAAACTGGCTATACCGTGCTATTTTTACAACTTTGTAGCATAGCTAGGTGAATTTACTTTCGGGATCTTTACAAAAATAGCCGTTCAATTCACTTTTTACTTTTTCTAGCCAATATATATAGATTATATACTAATTATACATGGTTATATACATATTATTCGTAAATTATCCATTTAATGGCTATATTTAGCTTGAGTAATTAAGTGGACTGCTATTTAGGTTAATTCCTATTTATCCTATCATCTACCCCTAAAGCAAGCCAATCTTTGATGAGCCAAAGATACTCTCTTTACTATGCTCTGGCCATTTTCCTCTTTACTTTCCGCAATTAAAAATTTACTGCGCCTTAAATTTTTTCATATCCAAAGATAACATTTTTGTGCAGATACTAAAGTCAGCCAACCTGATTCAAATTAGGAGGATGGAGTTGCTTTTAATTGACGGGTAATTTAAAAAAGAACACAATTCACTCTCCATCTTGTATTTTCAGATTTTGCACCTTATGGAGAGTACATAAGATCTGTTATAAAATATAACCCAAAATAATAATATAGAACAAGCAAAACAAACTAAGAGATATAGATAGAAAGAGAGGAAGAGAGATTCTTATTTCTTCTTCAATTGTATGTATTTTCCTATATATTACAAGGCCTTTATATAGGCATAAAAAGTGAAGAAAATATGTCATGGAATATGTCATTGAACATACAAAATATGTCATTGAATATGTCATTAAGCATTTGAGATGAAGATCATGGAAGAAGAGTAGACATCCACCATAATGTGATATTTATCATAACACTCCCCCTTGGTTGTCCAAAGATAATGTGCCTCGTTAAAATCTTACTAGGAAAAAACCCTATGGGAAAAAAAAATCCTAGTGAAGGAAAAAGAGTACACATGATTAGAAATACGCCCTTTTATTGCCTCGTTAAAAACCTTGCAAGGAAAATTCAGTGGGACAAAACCTTGTAAGGGACAAAGAGTACAACGCGTATTAACTCCCCCTGATGAGAGCATCAACTCACATCATTGAGCCTTCGCATCCCAAATTTGTACACCAGTTTCTTGAAGGTTGATGTTGGTAGAGATTTGGTGAACAAATCAGCCATATTATCACTTGAACGAATCTGTTGCACATTGATATCACCATTCTTTTGAAGATCATGTGTAAAAATAACTTTGGTGAAATGTGCTTTGTCCTATCTCCTTTTATGAATCCTCCCTTCAATTGGGCTATGCATGCTGCATTGTCTTCATACAAAATTGTGGGTAGTTTTTCACACTTCAAACCACATTTGTCTCGGATAAGATGTATTATAGACCTCAACCAAATACATTCTCGACTTGATTCATGAATAGCGATTATCTCAGCATGATTAGAAGAAGTAGCCACGATTGATTACTTAGTCGATCGTCAAGATATGGCAGTGCCGCCACATGTAAACACATAATCTGTTTGAGATCGAGCCTTATGCGGGTCAGATAAATACCCAGCATCGGCATAACCAACAAGATCGGGATTGCAATCATTGCCATAAAATAAGCCCATATCGGTAGTCCATTTTAGATATCGCAATATGTGTTTGATCCCATTCCAGTATCTCCTTGTATGAGCAGAGCTAAATCTTGCTAAGACATTAACCAAAAAAGTTATGTCAGGACTTGTAGTGTTAGCAAGATACATTAGTGCACCAATTGCACTAAGTTATGGTACTTCAGGACCAAGAAGCCCTTCATTCTTTTCTTGAGGTCGAAATGAGTCCTTATTCACATCAAGTGATCGAACAATCATCGGAGCACTTAATGGATGTGCTCCATCTATGTAATACCGTTTTAATACCTTTTTAATGTAGGCAGATTGATGAACAAAAATCCCATTTGTCAAATGTTCAATTTGCAAACTGAGACATAATTTTGTCTTTCCGAGATCTTTCATCTCGAATTCCTTCTTTAAATAATCAATTGCCTTTTGGAGTTCTGTAGGAGTTCCAATAAGGTTTATGTCATCGACATATACGGCAAGTACAATAAAATTTCGATGTTATTTTCTTTATAAAAACACATGGACAAATGGCATCATTTATATAACCCTCCTTTAATAAATACTCACTAAGACGGTTATACCACATTCTTCCTGATTGCTTTAGACCATACAAAGATCTTTGCAATTTGATTGAAAATATTTCCCGGGACTTTGAATTCTGTGTGTTAGGCTTTTTAAATCCCTCGGGAATTTTCATGTATATCTCATTATCAAGTGAGCCGTAAAGGTAGGCTGTAACTACATCTATTAAATGCATGTCAAACTTTTCATGGACAGCAAAACTAATGAGATAACAGAATGTTATAGCATCCATAACACGAGAATATGTCTCTTCATAATCGACACCACGCCTTTGTGAAAATCCTTGTGCAACAAGGCGTGCCTTATATCTTTGTACCTCATTTTTCTCATTCCTTTTGCGTACAAAGACCTATTTATAGCCAACAGGCTTAACACCATTAGGTGTTTGGACTATAGGCCCAAAAACTTCACGTTTTGCAAGTAAACTTAACTTTAATTGGATTGTTTCTTGCCATTTTGGCCAATCAAGTCTTTGTCGACATTCTCCAACAGATTGAGGTTCAAGATCCTCACTTGCTTGCATAATGCTAGATGCAACATTATATGCAAAGATGTAATCTACCACTATATCCATTCAATTCAAATTTGTCTCAATATCGATTGGATTTATTGATAGTTCCTTATTTTCTTGAGTCTCAGGCTCATTGATTTCCTCATGAATCTCAGGATTGGTTAAATCGTGAATTTCATTATGAGACTCTTTCTTAGTGTCATTTTAATTATTTGTTTTCCTTTTTCTAGGATTTCGATCCTTAGAACCTAATGGTCTACCACGTTTTAGGCG